TGTGGAGTAGCACTGTGATTATTTTCAATACTTCCATCTTGAGGGTTGACTCCAGATCCATTGGTGAAAGTTACTGATAACACTGTGATAAAAGATCTGGTTCTGATCCTCAAGTTCAGCACTGAGAGCACTGGTCAAGAGGGAAGCAAGCAGGGTGGGCTCAAAAGCACACATGCACAGATGCTACCCTGACTCACTGCTGGATGGTGTCCCTACACACCTGCTCTGGTGTCCAGAAAGGATGGAGAAGTGGGAAGGCAGCAAGAAGTTTGCTTCTTGGGGCTGCACCTGGCTGCTCCTGCTGGGTTTGTCCCTTGTACCACAGACAACTCCAGCCCCACCCCAGAGCAACCCCGTGCCAGTATATTCTGCATCTATCTCCCACTACCTTTTAGGAGTCGTGAGAACTTCTCCAAGAGAAGGAGAATGAAAATGACAAATCTCCCCTTCATTTGGGCTTGGGACTTTCCTACGTGGACAGCTCACATTGCACAGCGCCAGTACATTTAGGTCCCTTGAGGACTTTCCTTGGACTTACATCATTTGTCAGCTCTTAGTCAACTTCCTGTGTTTCTTTTTGTCTCCTCATAAATGTCTTCCATCTACAGACTCTTCCCTTGCTCTTCCATGCTTTCACCATTCATTTTTCCCTTTCCTATTATTCCAGACTTTTCTATCCACTACTGCTCCTCCTTCCATTCAGTCAATTCTAATGGCTTCATCACAAATGACAAAATGGAGTTATTGTGCAGTTTTGTTTATTCCCACCCAAGGTGAAGTGTTTCTCCTTCTTTTCTACTCTCTTAAGTCATTAAATCAAAATCTTTACTAGGCAGGCTGGCATAAGCTCAAAATGTCTTCCCATGGTTCCTATGTCCAGCCTTCCCACCTGACTAATGAGGAAACTCTGATGTTGAATAAAAGAGTTTGTGCACTACAAAGACTTTTTAATGAAAAATAAAACCTTCTGACATCACTGGCTACAACATTGTGGCTGTATTTCAGAGCAGGATAAAACTGTGCCTGTATTTTCCTGTATGGTTCAATATCCTCCTATTGACAGAAGATAGGGTGACTGGTCTACAACTGGAGACCAGGAAATGATTTTTTCTGATTTCATTAGAGTAATTGACAAAAGCATTTCCTTTCTGTGTAAGGTTAACAGATGGTTTGTTAAAGTTACAACTTCTTTAAACAGAGACGTCACAAAAAATGATATGCATGACAACAAAAATAATATTGATACAAGCTCATTGCACAATTAAAATGAAGTTTACATAACCCAAAGCATAGAATAATTAACTGCCACCATTGCAACACATTTGCTTTTCTAAGATTTTCTTGGAACCTGGATGAAGGGACATAAATGGGGCAAGTGCTGACACGGGATTTAAGTTACCAGAGGCACAAACATGCAGTTGGTTACTGTGCCTACTCCACATGTACAAAGAAACGACCATGGAGGCACAAGCAGGTTACATCAAGGCTTGAATATTAACCCCAGTAGTAACAGAGTATATTAATTGCACAGATTTTTTAATTTTGGGAAAAAAATGTTTTCATGCAGAAAGACTGAAATCAAATTCAAGATTGTAGGTTCCTACTCATGCCAACAGCTGTTACAGACCTAGCAGGATTGAGTTTTCCAGGCAGGCATCAAGCAGGCCCCTTCCTCTCGTACCTACCTACCTATCAGCCCAGGAGTACACTGCAGTCTGCTGTGCTCATCCCACGCCAATGGGATGCCCACAAGCATCAACCCTGCAGGACTCTGCTTCCACACCTCACCTCTGGCAGGTTCAAGATCTGTGCCAGGCAAGCACTTGCAACACCTGAAACTGCCTCACCTCCATCATGATTTGGCTCCCTGAGCCTCACCCTACCAGCAAAACACAAGGGGAGTGGGTGGGTTAATTAAAATAAATAAATAAATCCAGCAATACTAGTTTGCCCACCTGTAGTTTTTAGGACCTCACATTCATCTTAAAGGTGTCTCATTTCCATAAAAGCAAGAAAACTGCCAAGGAGATTCAGCTTTGAAAATAGAAAACTTAATTGATGTTAGACCTTTGATAGGTGAAGCACATTAGCCATCCCACCTGGACAGATCTAGAATGCTAACATAGTTACTCATATTTAATACCTTTCTCCTTCAACATCACACTTACTATTTATCTTCTTTACTGTAATTCTTCCAGGGTTTTCCTTGTCCTCTTTCCAGTATGCCTTCATCTCTTTTCTTTCTCTAGTATTTCTGCCTTATTTCTCTTCACAGCATCCTACCACTTACCTTTTCAAGCATGCTCTTTTGCAGTAGTCTGTATAAATTTCAGCTCTCAGACTTTACTAAGACATCATTAAGACATGCAGCTAACTCCCAGTGACCCAGGAGAAAGAAAGAAAATGGAACCCCAGTGGATTTTCCCTGCATTTGTTCATTTTCTTCACAGTAACAGCTCAGAAGCAAACCTGTTCCATTACCAATTTTAGATGTCAGCTCCTTGCGTTATATAACCATTTTTTTGAAAAAGAGGTAAATAATTGAATCAAGGAGGCAAGTAAAAGGACAAATAGGAGCAGTATCCCCCATTGCAAAGCCTCTGTTGATAGCTATTGGAAATAACCTGGTTTGTTTTACCAGCCTGGTGATGTCAGGTTCACTCAGCTCACACCTCGTCGGCTCTGACTGAGGGGCTTCGCTCACTGCGGGGCTGACGGGGAGCAAAGCAGAGCCCCTCGCTGCTTCTGCTTGCCTTCACATGAAGGATCTTCGGGAAATTGTGTAACGATACAGCAGACTGGTCCTTGCCCCAGGTGTAGCAGGTTCTTCCTTTCTCACTGACTTTGGCAGAGCACATGAATTTCATCGTCATCTCCGACAAAATGAACAGCAAGCATTATAAAGGGGGAAAAAAGATATTTAATTTTGAGGGGGAAATAAAGGGAACTCCTGTCAGCAAGAGATTCTGCTCTAGGAAAAAAAAGGCAAATTCCTCAGTGAAAAATAAAACGGAGATGCTGCAGCTTTTGTAACTCCCAGTAGCAGCCAAAATAAGGGTAGTGGAAAAGAACAGAGATTTTCAAAGCAAGCAAAGCCACATTAATACATCCATACCTTTTAATGCCAATATAATAAACTGTGAAGATACTTCACTTACAAATAAGGATTGTATTTTATTCTTTTGCATTCAACTTAGTTTCAGTGAAAGGTGGTTATAATAGGTCAGTTGTAACAACACATAGTCTTACAGAAAAAGAAATCACCATTACAGTTACAAAAAATATGAACTAAAAAAGTAGTGACAGAAAATTAAGAAAGCAGAGTGACATGGATATGGAGAAGAGTAGAAAAGAACTTTCCAGCATCTCAGGTTTCATGGTTTAGTCTGCCAGAAAGGACAGGTTTGCAATATGAGTATCAACAGCAGCAACCATCCCCTTGCACTGCCAAGGGAGCAGATGAAGCATTCTAACAAGGGAGCAGATGAAGCATTCTAACAATCATTGCTTTTTTCCACACATTCCAAATCTATTTGGTTTTATGGTGCTTTATCCCACCAGGAAAAAGTTACTATGAGGGATAAAGATGCCAAATGTACATAAAAGGTGAGTCAAAAGAATCCTTTGAATGAAAATATTATATAGGTCTATTAAAACTAATTTAAATAAGGCCTTCCAATCTGCTTTCTGCCTCAGTTTTCCAGGTGTTCTCATGCCACAGGTCACATCCAGCTCTGTCCAAGAGGACTGAGTTCCTGCTACTTTAATTCAATGCTTCAGATACCCACTTCAGTTCAGAGTTCTGCACAAAGCATTGACAAGTACTTCTCCTTTTTCCCCAAAGGAAGATGTTACAGAGTTAACCAGATCTTTGATCTGAAAGAAAGCTGCTCACCTGCTTGTAGATAAATATCCATCTGCTCTGAATCAACTGGCCCAGAGAGGTCTGGCTTGCCAGTCGGTGTCAAAGCACAGCTAGGAGAGGGAATCAAAAGAAGAACAAACACAAAACCCAAACACCTCCCCAAGCCTCCTTGAACCCCCCAAAAAACTCCAACCCCACCAAAAACGCAGATGCACGATGGTCACGAAGCACAGGCCAAGGGAGGTCCCTGCTGGCAGGATGATGAAATGCACATGCACCATTTCCAAACATGTCATCCACCTGCTCCCACAAATAGTTCCTGCTCCCACAAATAGTTCCTTCTCCATCTGAACCCCAAAACTTGGCACAGTTACCTTGCATTCACCTTGGCATCAGCCTTTTGCTCCCAAGGGCAGTGCTGCCCCACTCATGCATCACCCACCGCACAAGTGCTGCTGCTTGGTGGGGCAGAGGGGGAATCCAGTCTCCGTGTAGCCATGTTTATCAAGGATAAAAACTCCCAGCATACTTGAATTATCTTTCTGCTGGAGTAAGGCTGACCATACCTACAGCTTCTTCTACTGCAGACAAGCAGGAAGATGGGACCCACGTGGTTTCCCACATGATATCGGTCATTTTTTCTACTCGAGGGGCATCAGATATCAATAATTATATTGCGGAAATTAGTGATACCACATTTAAGAATTCATCAGCAAACACTGGATCTTAGTGTATTGAAAAGGAACAAAATAAAACAACAGATCTTGTCTCAGCTTTTTTGTATATTACATTTACACAGCTGCTGCAAAATTTCAACGGCAATGAATTTCACAAGACGGAAACCAGAAATAATTCTTCACTATGCTGGACCATCGTAAAGACACTTATAATACACCTGGGGATAAACTAAGCTCAAAAAAATGTTAACTACTGGATGAGACACATATTAACCTCCAGATATAAAAGTGACTATGCAAAGAAAGCAATAGAGAGTTAAAATAAATATCCAGTGAAGGCCAACACAGACATTATGAAGAGGTTCAATTTTCCCCTTACAATTGACACACTTGAGAGTAATAGACATTTCCAGTGGCTCAAAAACCAAATATAATTGACACTAGAATGAAGGAAAGCGTACAGGGGAGGTTTTAAAAAAAGAAACTTTATTACAAATCTGTAGGTTTAAGAAAATATCCAAAAACTGTCAAAGTAGTATGAAAAATGCTGTCATCCATTTCACAGCCACCAGTTCGCTCCAACAAACACAGCATACAAAAACTGATAGAAACCATGGCAATTTTTTTTGGTGACACAAGTCAGATATTTGTAATTTCAAATCCTCTGCTGACAGCTGAGATGCTGCTGGCAGACCAGGGGAATGATTAAATTGCACTGGTTTTGAAAACTGGAAGTTGGGATGAACAGGTTATATACATACACACATACTGTATTGTACCATGTGTCCAGGTAACTCAGGGCAAACAAAACATGGCCCAGCACAATACCTAAAGTCTGTAAAAACCTGGAGAGACAGGGAATGTGTGTATATGGCATTAAGTTATTCTCTGTGCTCTGGTTCCCATTTTCTTTAACATCTCAAACCTAATAAAGACCAATTGTTTTCCACTCTCATTTACAGAAACACTGAAGCTGATGTGCTGCTGTACTGTCTTTTCAGACTCAAAACATTTTAGCTGCACTGGAGGCAGGCATAGGCTCTAAAAATGCAATGCAGTTAAAACATCATGTAATTAAAAGTGGGATTTCTAGAAGATTGTAGACTCAATTTCCTGCAAGTAACCTAACACCTTAAGCTCCCCTAAAAAACATGGCATTTCTTGTGTCATTCAGAGATAATTTATACAATAAATGAATGAGGAAAGAACCAATATATGTTACATTCCTAAACTGAAGCACAGACTGCAGTAAAAAAGCAGAAAGTCTGCAAGTATGCCAGGGATTAAATCCAAAACTGCCCTAAAACTCTTAACTCTTAACTGACTGCAACGGCTGGAAGCTGCAGCACAGACCATTGGTAACAATATTCTCAAATCCTTTGAACTGCACAGGACTGAGACACAACAGCTCAGAGCTGCAGTGTAGAAGAGGCTTCAGTGGAAGCAGTGTGAAGATTTTAAAGGAGCAGGATGAAACACTTCAGTTACAATACCTGCTCAAGGTACAGATATGACCTAAAAAAAAACCCCAAAAAACTCTGTATAACTTAACTCTGTTTTTATCAGGTCCTCAAAGGAGATTTGCTACTGAACAACCCTCCTTTTGCCAACAGCAACTTGAAAGAAACTAGGACCATGGTAAAAAACGACTAGGTGCATTTCATTCATTTTGCTGTTTCAACTTAAAAGTTGAAAAGCACAGAACTGAGAGTTACTCAAAGAAAACTACTCTGCAGGAGAGCAATTAGAAATCAACAGTCTCTCATTACCAGAGCAAACAGGATGGAAGATGCAGGACTGAATTTACAGCAATTTCCTTCCCCATGCAGGCCAGATTAACCCTACGTTGATCAGAGCTACCTACAACATTTCTTAAAAGCCACTTGCTGATAAAGAGGTTGCCTCATTCTCCTGCATTTACTGAAAACTTGATTTATGAAACGCTGTAATGAAACAGTCAAAAAATCTTCATTCCAAAGAAGGAAAATATTCCATGTACATTCTTAGGTGTGAACCTTCAGGCTTGGGAAACGTTTTTCTAGATTGTCAGCAAGTGTCTGGTCAGCCTCACGCAGGACTTCAAGGAAACTCTCCACCTGGAAATAAAAAACACACACAGAAAGAAAAAACCCCAATTTGCATGGAACACAGAATTCTTATATTGGTACAGCAGGTCTTTCCATTTCTGTACCTTCCCAGCAAGAGAGCAGCCAGCAGCAGCCACTGCAATGAATAATGGAAAATGCTCCACAGTAGCTACCTTCCTCCTACACCACACATTTTCAGTCAGTCTAAATCTTGAAACATTACCACCTTCCTCAAGCTCTTGCTTTCTTGTTTAAAAGTACACAAAGAAAAGCTCCCTAAAAAAAATATTTGGAATAATTCTTCTACGAAAATGTACAGGACACATTTTCAGCTAGCATAAATTTTCAGACATCCATTCACATCAGCACAGTTTGACCCTTGCATCAGCTGATGGTCTTGGCAAAGCTTTGGCTAAAGGAAGGCAGAAGAGACAGAGGGGCAGGACTGTCTGGAATAGGAATGGTGTGGCACCTGTGCCTGAGCAATTCTGCCCTGCTTGTACATGGGATTTGGAAAGGTCTTGCCACCCAAGCAGTATTTTTTCAGCTCTGCCACAGACCTTGTCATATACTCACCGATGCAAAATACAGAGGTAAGAGGTTCTGAAATGCACAGGAACACGTCTGTTCATTCAAATGTCCCTGGTGCAGTCCTTCTAATGTATTTTCCTGCAAAATAAAGTGAGAACGAGCTTGTCATCAGCAGTTGTTGGAAGAACAAACTCAGAACTGTGCACAGTACGTGCTTCATTCTTAAAAATGGGTAAAACAACCAGAACTTACAGCTCTCAAAGAAAGCCAGACATAGCTGACACAAAAAGGTGTGAAAGCTCACACATCACAAGTCTCAACCTGAATGCTTCCATAATAAAAAGTGTCCAGCTCAGAAGGAGAGTTTGATAGTATTTCCTTCTCTTAAAATAAATTGACTTTCATTCAAAACAAATGGCAACATACACCTAGAAAATTTATCATACAGAATCCTGGCCCTGAAAACCTGTGTCCCTGCCATCTCACAAACTTGTTGCTACTTATATTCTGACTGATTCTCTAAGAAATTCCCAGTATGCAAGTGCACTTGCACAGAAAAATGCCCACATTAACATCTTTTTTCTTACCTAACCTGCAGAAATCCCTCTGAAAATTTTGTTTATTCTTACCTTGGTTAGTTCTTGAAGCATATTGGAAAGTAATTCACAGCAAATATCCTTCAAAATTTTTAAATGGAAATCCTCCTCATTTATTTCAGTCCTTCCAGTCTCTTCTTGCTTGGACTCCTTGGAGTTATCAACAGCTCTCTTCCCACACCCCTCCATGTATTGTAAGATACGAATCAAGCTCCCAATCAGAGGCATATCTTAATATAAAGTAACAAGAAAATTGAATTTAAACACTGAAAATTCTTCCCCATCCTTTCAAGGCATTAGAATTTTCAAACACACCACCAGATTTTACACAAAAGCTATAGGAATGTATATTCTGACAGTGCTGTGTTTTGTTACTCAAAGATCATTCTAAAGAAGCAAGGGGAAATGCAGTAAAAAACCCCAACCATTTTTCCTGCAAGCTAATCTGTATCTATAAAAACTATAAGCCAGTGGTAAGGAGTACAAGAAGGAAAAGGTCTTTAGTAGTAAACCAGTGAGGGTAGTATGTTCAATTTACATCCAGATCATCCTATCTGACAAGCCAAACACACAATGTCTTTCTGCTGCAAATGACCCTGACTCACATTCCCAAGATAGGCTTTTAATTCTAAAGACTTATCCATGAATTGAAAAGTAACAAGGGATAGATGGATTTAAGTAAGTGCAGAATATCCCCCTACTAAAAACAAAAAACAAACAAACAAACAAACAAAAATTACTTTTAAGTCCTCATATTTTAGCAAAGATGAATTCTGTAATTTTCATTAAGTTACCAAACAGAGAAGACTGAGCAGAATTTGTAGATTCTGGCACTGTAACTCTTCAGAGACATCCAGTAACTGAACTTTGGGCTAGGTGTGATTTTGAGTCACTAGTAGAGTCTAACTGTATTCAAGTATGTCAATGAATTGAACCACCTTTCACCCCACATAAAGTCAATTGTGAACATAACTTTAAATGAAGGAAAAAAGAAAAAAGAACAGAAAAAAGCACAACTTGCTTTTCCTCATCCTGGTGTATTCTTGCTCTGTCTGTGAAGCAAACATTGCAGACAGCACGGACAAAATAGAGGCCAATACAGTCTTCTGCTCCTGCACAATGATCGGTGGATCATCTGGCTGGCAAAGTTCCTGGCAAACGAGGTCATAAAGCAAACTCCAAGTCTCTTTTCCTCCATCAGGAGCCTGCACTTGATAAAGAAAGAAAGAGAACCCACCAACCCAACAAATTTAATCTAGGTAGGTGAATTACAACTCTCCCCATTAAATATCCAATGATCCGGAAGTTCTGGCCACTCTGGGTCCCATCACACATAGCAATTCAAGCGTCTTACCAATAGCCTGGATCCCCTCATCCACTGTAGTCAGGAGCTGCAGGATATGCATATAAACATCAAGTCCTTCTGGGTTATCTGATCTACACAGAACAAGCAAAAAGCAAAGACATGTTAAAGAGCCAATTACTGACTTTATATCTTGTGTGTTTTGGACACAGAGAAGCCTGTCAGGAGTCACTGCCATTCTCTTTGCTAACAAACTAGTTGACTCATTTCAAATTATAAGTACAGGAAAATGTATTCTAGTGATCCATCAAACTGTGCTGCTCCCACTAAAATCAAGATGTTCAGACACAAGGTTATAATGAACCTCCCCAGCCATGAAACTGAGAAGAAATCTCACATACCGGACTTGTTTGGCTGCTTCAAGTATACAAGGCACAATCTTAAAATCTGGAAGTTCTTCAGGGGAATCATCTACAGATGGTCCCACAGACTGGCAAGTGCCGTTTTTAATCCAGTTTAACATCAGCTCTTCATCGAGATCGAAGAGTTTGTCCACCACTTCACCCACTTTTACCAACAAGTCAACTGCACAAGAGAGAATGTAAAAATTTCAACAAGACTAAAAATGAAGGGCAAAAATCAGCTCACAAAACATTAATATACATGTGAATTCAGAGTAAATTCAGTACTGAAATATATTAATTTTCTTCACGACCTACTATGGGTCGCTATGTTTAATTCCTTTATGTGGCACAAACCAAGTGAAGAGTTTGATAAACAGGAATTGTTGGAAAGCCCACTGATGTCTCCAACCTTGTCTTGCCATATGCAAAGCAAGAACTTTATTCTGCAAAGAGAGTTCACATTCCTGAAAAGTCCTAACTTCTGCTTCTGAAGAAAAACTTTCCAAGATTTGTCCCTAGCTATGCAGTTTGATGCCAGTCTTCCACCTGCCAATCTGCATTTTACCTAGGTAGATCTGTGATTTCAGCTGGATGAGCAGGATTTCGGAGCACTGTCATTAATAATAATAATAATAATAAAAAACCTGAAAAAGCTAAATTATTAGGACTCCTTGACAAATCATAACTGCTGTTACAAATGAGTTGGATATGAAACATAAATGCTATTCAAAGTATTTCCATTTTTAGGAGTTTGGTGTGGTTTTTAATAAATTAGTTCTAAGACAGATTTGCACACTACTGACTGTATACCCAAAGCCTGTACAGTATTCAGCTGCCACTCAGAGCAACTGAATCACTCCTCCAGTCACCATTCCACAAGTATGGCAGTTTTAAAAACAGTAAATACATATAACTGATTTGAAAAAAAACTAATTAAATGAGGTCTTGTTTTAAGGTTCAAAAATTACACATGTATATCCCTGAACAAAGACCATGCCCTTTCCTTTCTTGTGGAAAATAACAATTTCTTCTGTTACACTTATTTTGATTCCCCGCAGAGCTTTCTTCTTCCTCTGTGCCTGCTTTTTTGATTGGTTTTATATATATTTATAAACCTGCAAGGGCAGGATGAGTTTGTTTTGGTGTCCTTTAAATTTATGAGGTTCCCTTTATTTTCAAGAAATTCTCCCAACTGAAAATACTTGTCTTTGAAACTGCAAACTTCAGTTCTTATTTTTTCTTCTGCAAAAACCCACTAATTCCCAACTTGTTTTGGCAACTTACCATTTGTAGAGCTGGACATGATAAAGCAAACACAGTCATACACGGAAGGGTTTTCTCGGATTCTCTCAACCCAGACATTGGCCACCTCAGGCTGGGACAGGCAAGTTAACAACAGCCTAGACAAGAATCCCTCATTTAATAAATTAGAAGCCAATTCAGTTCATTTCAGCTGTACAAGTGTAAATCCAAAATAAAGAGAATGTTGTGATAGAAACAGGAATCTACCTCACAGGAACTGATTCCAGGACAATGCAGAAACAATAAAAGATGAGGGGATGAGAGGATAATAAAACAGTGAGCCCATCTGTCAGTTTTCTTTCCAGGCCTCAGAACACAGCAGAACCACACTAACAATGCATTAATTTCTGAGATGTCCTACCTGCTTGTTTCCAGAAGAGTCGGGGAATCTGAATCACACAAACGCTGCAATAGCACTTGGCTTTAAGAGAAAATGCAAGGAAAAAAAGTTAACAAAATCTATCCTTGTTTAAAAAAACAGGTATAAAAAGGTAATTTCATAGGTGCAGCCATGTTCTGAGATTAAAACCAGCTTTTTCTAACTACTCATGCATTTTAAGTGTTTCAAGATTGCCAAACTTAAAAATCCAACATTCAAGAATTTCACTGGTGATTAAAAAAAGAAATAAAACAGTGGTCTGTATTCTTTTTTCCTTCACTGAACACTTCCCACACAAAAAAGGTCAGCCAAAATGGTGTGAATGAAGATGAGGCATGGCAGGCAAACTTAGATCCTTTTATAACATGTACTTCATGACTGTGAGTCCAGAAAAGCAGTACTCGTGCATGTATGAAGCACATATACACTTACCCAAGATTCTCATCTTTACTAATGGACATGCATATGTCCTGGAAACAGGCCATATTTCCTAATATTCCCACGCAGATTTCCTGAAAAGTCAAAACACAGTATAATGAGGCAACTGCAATGTAGTCCAGGATTTCACTTCCAGAGCAGTACAACAAAAGTAAGGGAGGTTCAAAGAGGGTGGGAGCACCGGTTGGATAACATGTTTCAGAAAGGGAAAAAGCTGCTGCATGACAGCAACTGCAGCTGAAGGGAGAAGTGAGAATATGGGAGAGAAACAGCCCTGCAGGCACCAAGGTCAGTGCAGAAGGAGGGGCAAGAGGTGCTCCAGGTGCCGGAGCTGAGGTTCCCCTGCAGCCCGTGGTGCAGATCATGGTGAGGCAGCTGTGCCCCTGCAGCCCATGGAGGTCTGTGGGGAATGCAGAGATCCACCTGCAGCCTGTGGAGGACCCCACATTGGAGCAGGTGGATGCCTGAAGGAAGGCTGTGAGCCCATAGGAAGCCTGTGCTGGAGCAGGATCCTGACAGGACCCGTGGACCCATGGAGAAAAGAGCCCAGGCTGGAGCAGGTTTGCTGGCGGGACTTGTGACCCTGCGGGGGACCCACACTGGAGCACTCTGGAAAGAACTGTAACTGTGGGAATGACTAATGTTGGAGAAGTTCATGGAGAACTGTCTCCTATGGGACGGACTCCATGCTGGAGCAGGGGAAGAAAATGAGGAGTCTTCCCCCTAAAGAGGAAGGAGCAGCAGACACAACGTGTGATGAACTGACCACAACTCCCATTCCCTATTTCCCTGTGCTACTCAGGGGAAGAGGGAGAGAATCAGGAACGAAGTCGAGCCTTGGGAGAAGGGAGGGGTAGGGGAAAGGTGTTTTTGAAATTTGATTTTATTTCTCATTATCCTGCTCTGATTTGATTAGTAATAAAATAAACTATTTCCTCAAATTGAATCTGTTTTGCCTGTGAGAGTAACTGGTGAGTGATCTCTCCCAGTCTTATCACAACCCATGAGCCTTTTGTTATATTTTCTCTTCCCTGTCCAGTTAAGGAGGGGGAGTGACAGAGCAGCTTTAGTGGGCACCTGATGTCCAGCCAGGGTCATCCTGCCACACTTTTGCAGGTCTGACTAAACAAGTCCATGACCATTTTTGTTCAGTAATCATAAAACAAGTAATGAGAAAAAAGGCCAGGCTACTGGTTTTTATAACAGGTCTTGTAACTAGGATTGATTAACTCAGTCCCTCATCAGTTTACATGGGTGAGGATTTGTGAGCAGACTTGTTTCAGCTTCAACATCACTGAAATACTTATTGATTACATTACTGATACCACATTAAAAACACTGCAAAAAAGCATTCTAAAATTTGATTTTGCATTTTCTCATGCTTCCCCTAATACATTCAAACATGCAGTGGAAGGAGAAGGAAGATAAGAGTAAATGCATGTACAGAACTACCTACTATTGTTATTAACGCACGACAGCTTTTTGACAGCCCATACTTACAGTAAGGCGAGGGCATTTTGATTTGGCAAAAACTCCCATGAATATATCGGGGGCGTTGAACTCCTGAAGGAATAAAGCAACATCCTGTGGAGAAAGTGAATGGAGAAGTAAATGGACTTCTACAATTTTCAAGAGCAAAATCAAACCCTTTCTCACGGCACAAGGACTGGATCAAAGAGATGACAAACTCGCTACAAAAATTTTGTTATTTGCTAACAGTGAATACCAATAATCCTTGCTTTTCAATGAGACAAGATCAGGAACTCAAACCCTTCTGGTGATTCGGGATGCCAATGAGACCAAAAGTCACATTGGCAAGGAAAGGTTCTTTTGTTCCTTGTCCCAACAGAGGGTCAGAGACACTAAGTAAGAATCCAGTAAACACCATGTTTTAAGACAAGATATCACCCCAACTTATAAAAAGAAATAAGTGAAGGAGTTGCCATTAGCACCTGATCAGACTATACAAAAGAAATTTCCTTCTCATTTTACCACATTAAAACACAAGATGAGTTCTTTATTTGGGAGTAAAGGATACATATTCCATGTTTATTTAAAAAATCTCAACAAGCCAGCAAACAAAATAATTTTATATATTTTTATATATATATATATATATTAAAAACTTGAGAATTTCTTCCAGCATTTGAGAATGTTGAGAAAAATACCAAAAAGCTGTGTTACGTTGCCACTGCAAGTCTGTAGCCAAACTTTGAAAGGCTGTTTATCTATCACAGAAAACTATGCTTTACCAGTAGGGCGCACTACAATTGCTAGAGGGAAATAAGCCTATTTCGAGAGCTGACCGAGCTCGGATGACTCTGTGCCTTCTGCCACGTCCAGGAGGATTCTGCGGGGCAGAACATCGCTCCTACCTCGTCCATCGACATGTCCCACACCTTGCAGATGTCATTCTCCATCTCCTCGTCCAGCTCCGTCCGGGCTCCCTCGGGGCTGGCGGCAGGATCCGGCTCCGCGGGGGCGATGACCTGGGACACGTCGGGGTGTGGGGGTGAGGGCTACACGACCCGGGTTAACCCCCCGCACCGCTCGGAAGCCGCTGTGTCCCCAGGTGTCCCCGGGTGTCCCCCGGGTGTGTCTCCGGGTGTGACCCCGGGTGTCCCCCCGGCCCCGGCAACGATCGCGCCGCACCCGCCCGGCGCTGACCGACACCGGCCCGCCGGCCCCCTCCCTCCCGGCGCCGCCGCACCTCGATGAGGCGGGTGAGGACGCTGAAGAGCCAGTGCTTGCTGTACACCGTGTTCCCCACCGCGTCCCCCTCCTCCTCCTCCGCATCGCTGCACGGCGGTGACGGGTTGCGGTCCATGGCGGCCCCACAGCCGCGCGGGCACGGCGAGGCGGCGGCGCGGCCGGAGCGGCACCCGCGGCCCCACAGCGCCCCCTGGGCACCGGCGGCCGCTGCGCCCCAGCGGCCGTGCCGGGATGGCGCCGGGATCGCACCGGCACCGTTCCGGGATCCGCCCGCCCAAGGCCCCCACCCCTTAGGAGCCCCCGTGATGCCCCGACGCCGTCCCGCTGCCCCCGCCCCAGCGCCGCCCCCAGTCCCGCGGCCCAGGAGGACGGATGCTCGCAGACGAGGGGACAGTTTTCAGGAGGATTTCTTTATTCGGCTGTACAAAAGCTAAGAAAGACTTTATATCACCAGCGCGCTTGTAGCAAATGTGGGTAGAGCCCTTCCCAAATCTTCGTTCGCGAAGCCTAGCCATGATGATGATGATGACGATGATGTACAAAGGCAAAGGGAGGTGTTAGAGCAGCAGGGGGACAGCCCTAGTACTTGCTGGGCAGCCCCTTGGGGCGGTAGCGGTTCGGGTTCCCGCCGCTCCGCCCCCACCTGTTCGCCTCCTGGTCCGCCCGGGTGTCCTCGGCGCCTCTGCCGCTCACGCTGCTCTGCCATCCCTCCCGGGCGTCACTGCGGGGAAGGAGGAAAGTCACCTGAACCGACCGCATGAGCTCAGCCTCGTGTGGATCTCTTCACTCACATAAAGCAAGCTTTTCCTCAGTGCTTCTCAAGGCAAGCACATACTGATCCTTGTCTGAGAGCCCGCATGGAACCCATAACCGTTATGTCGGGAAAGGAACCAGCAAGGAAAGAGTTTTTTATGACCAGAAATGCAGAGGAAGGAGTCTGCCTTCTCGGGAGTACAAGAAGAAAGGCCTCACACTCGTGTGGGAGGAGAGCCACCATTCCTATAGAGACAGGCTGTCCAGACAGGAACTGCATCCCCTCCCCTCTGCTGTCCTTCTAGGTGAAAAGCTGAGTACAAGTCAAAAAGGACTTCAACTGGAATGCCTGGATCCCTAGTAACTCGCTGTTAACAAGCCAAGCACACTCTCTTACCTGATCACTCTTGCTGCCCAGGCACCACCAGGTCCTCTCCGGGCAGCATCGTAATTCCCACGAGCATGGAAGTATTTGTCGGCACCTTTATAATTTGCCTCACGCATGTCCCGGTATGCTCTGTACATATCCCGTGTTCCTGAAGAAAGTGGAGAAACAGAAATGTTGTTGGCTTGAAAAAGTCACACCATAAATAGTTCAGTACCATTTCAGCCAGGAGTTGAAAGGCCCAAGGAGCTGAAAGGCCGAAGGAGCAGTAACACAGAGAGGCACATCTCCACATCAGTCTTTGCACAGGGCTTTGCCCACAGAAAGCACCTGTGGGGGCTGATCAAGGCCCTCTGCCAGCAGCAGAAACCAGCTGTGGATCTCCCAGCTCCAGGGGCTGCATCCATTGGTAACCCTTGGGGAGCGGGTTCCTAAGAGGAGGGTCTATGGTAAGAGCAGCTTACCTCCTGCTGCATCCCAGACAAATTTTCCAGCTCTGCGCAGTCCAAATCTGTCAGCACTTACACACAGAACAACGGAGAGCAACATGAGGCAGACGCAGAGCCTCATGGTTACTTGCCCAAGTCTGAGACAGAGCTGTGAGACAGAGAGATGAACAGTTCTGGAGCACCTTTGAGAGACTGCTGGCATGGCATCCACGACACCCACAGCTGTGCCAGGGCAGCTGCCCAGGGCCCCCTTCTACCCCTATGAGGAGTGGTATCCTCTGTGAGACCACAAGCTCAGCTAAGGACTCCACAACAGAGGCAGATGCACATGAGAAACTTGCATTCTAGCATTCTCTGCTGCTCTTGTCAGAGAAGCCCCACATGCTAAAGCATTAGTCCTGTTCCCAAGTACCAGCTCCAAACATTGCATATAGCTCACAAATTCAGAATGTCACTCACCACTGCAGAAAGGCAAAGCCAAAGGAAGTGGAGATGGTCTCGTGTGCTCTCAGACTCAAAGAGGGTATTTATAAGCAATTCCAATCCTTCAAAAGAGGAAACTGTAAAGGATACACCCATGGCTAGGAATTCCCCACTACTCCCCCACTTTAAACACAGAAATCATTATTGGAAACCTGCCCTTGTCCTTACTGAAAGTTCATAGCTCCTCTTACACAATTTTTTAGACAGTATGTGGTGCTTCTTCAGCTGTCCATGGGACTATTTGCTCCTCATAACTAGCAGACTGAGAAACTGCCTTGAAGACTGAAGTGTTCTGTGTGCTTGAATTGTTACACTTGACTTAAAGGTGACACTTTTTTTGGCCCTTGTGCTGGACAGAGCTTGGAAGGGAAGGTGCCTGGTTGTCTGCATGAAGCACAAGGTCAGGTCTGTGTCTGTGCACAAGCAACAGTCAGCCGCGTTACCAGAAGGGCTGCAGGAACTGCTAAGTGAAATTCTCATGCATGCTGGGATGACCACATGAATCCCAGAGTTGATGGAATGGAAAATGAGAAGTGTTGCTCTTAACTCCATTCCAAGCAAACCACATACACCTGCGTCCCTGCTGATAATGCTCTAAGGTAGCACAGACACACACACCATAAAGAGGCTCTGAATGGTTCATCCTGCCTTGGTTTGCTTTCACAGATCCTTCCCAAGGGACTTCCAGCCATCCTGCTGCAACAGCAGCTCAGTGGGGCTTAGGTGGGCTTAAACTAAGCAGAGTTTTTGATGCAGCAGTAAACATTTTACCTAAGGGGAAGTTCAGATCCATACAGCAACAACTCTGCTAGATTTTAAAATTCATATATTAACTGTCAGGCCCTGGTGACATGGTTCAGAGTTTGAGTACCCACTGTGCTTTCCCTGCTCAGGAGCCTGCTTGGTTAACTAGCAGAAAGCTCCAGGTTTGAGTGCAGTTGCACTGTAGAGAGAGGGTGCAGAAAGTCTCCCCTTTGTGTGGTCTCACACATGATTTAACAGGTCTAAGAGAGCATTTTACCTTCTCCTCAGAAGAGTTACAGGTAGTTGCCCCGTTCACAACTCTGTCACTTTAAACAATTTGCTGCTGGAGCTGCAGAGCAGAAGCATGAGGTGAAAGAGGTGCAATAAAGCTAATAAAGTGCTATCAGGCAACTTTCCTTGGGCTTCGCTGGACTTCAGCCAAGAGTTCAGCTTAAGAGGATACATTTTGCACAGACCGGCCTGGAGCGGTAGAACAGATACTCTATAGTACTCTGTATCTCTGAATGGAACAATGGGCAATGAGAACCTAAAGTTCGACCCAATGGACAAGTGAACCTTGCAAAAAGCAGGGAGCAGACACATAATTTTTGTCCCCTGCCATCCATGAGCCCAGTGCTTCCCTCTGTAACAACAGCTCAGTTACTGCAGGAACTATGTTTTGCTGCAACTCTGTTCACATCCTAGTCTCAACTTATGTTGCAACCTATGTTCTTACAGTACAGAGTTGCTCAAATTTCTTCTCTACTGGCTGCAAGTGGCCTTGTCACCTTTTCAGTTAAAAAAAAAAAAAAACAACTGGAAAATTACTCGGGTAAGCTGGGGTACAGGCATGTGCCATTTTGCTCTGGGACCTAGAACAGAGCGTTGCCTTCAAAACTGACTGACAGTATTTTTTCCTACAAGAGCTGAGGCGTTTTGGACTATAGAGGATATTTCTGAATCTTATGCCATGTTTCACATTCTCTCCAAACAAACATTTTCTGCAAAGAGCAAAACATAAGAATAATTCCCAGACGGTAGGTGCTGGAGGGGATCTTTAGAAGATCTGGTAGTGCATCCCCTGGACTCCTCTCCAGCAAGGACAGCAGTAGTGACAACAATGTGGGAGCTCCCTATGGTAACCAAGATAAAGCTCTAGCTTTGTGCTCCAGCAGGGAATAGCCTGAGCTCTGCTTTCCCGTATCCTCTTGGCCTGCACTCCAGGTCACAACCCCTAGCTCACAGAAACAAGCTGCAGCCAAAACTGCTGCTTGCGCAACAGAAACAGACAAAGCTGCCTCTGAGCATGGAGAAGGGGCTGAACGAAGTATTTCTTTCTGGCCCAGCAAGAAAACTCTGGCTGCGTGTGCACGCTGGGGAAACAACATACTGAAGGGTGCCCGGAAACTGTTTCCTGAGTTTGTACATTCTGATGTAATTAAGATAAAAAGCAATCCCCTACTGGTTGCCCTTTAATTCTAAATATCTATAAATGCAAGCTACATTCCACAAACATTCCACAATTTTGCAATCTGAGAAAGTCAGATTGAGAAATCAGATAAGGTGAATTCCCAGCTCAGGCACAATCATAGATGCAGTTATTCTGGGAAGGAACAGTACATTATTTTAGTTTACATGTGCAATGATGCACCTCAGGAGTTTTGCCATGCTCCTGTATAGAATATTTACTAGCATTGACCTCAGGTTTATAGACGTGTAGAACAACTGCAAATTGGCTCCTTTCAAGAAACAGATTGAAAATGCAGATATTTATCTGAAATAAAATTTATTTCTCCAGAGGTTTTGATGATGATTCTAATAGTGAAATAATGTTTGAGGAGGGTATGATGCTTTTTTTCTTTCAAAAAAAGAAAACAAACACCACCACCACCACAGTTTCTATTTAAAGCTGCTCCAGGCAAAGCCCCCTTTATTCACCTCTGCTTTTTAAGGCCTTCTTCCACCATCAGTGACCCACAAAAGCCAAGGATGGCTCAAGCTATCAGTGGTGTGGGCTCAGCTGTGTGACAGGAGCTGGTTTAGGGGCCACAGCTTTAGCATGAGAGCCTTGCTCTGTGCAGCTGCAACTTCTGAACAGAAGACCATTTTATTTCACAGTCCCTTCACCTTACCCCTCTGAGATGAAAACAAACTCATCCAGAATAGGAAAAAGTGATTTTCCAACTCTTCTTCGGAGAGTAAACTCTTACTCTTTATTGACAGCCGAGTTAGTTGAAATCATCAACACAAGCTCACTTTACACATGAAATTTGAACAAACACTTCCCATTATGTTACCTATATGACCACTCTGACACAAAAAAAGGCTCTGACCAGAAAGTATTGATTTATTGTAAAAAAAC